CCTCTTCGGACTGGGGCGCGTGTCTTGAGCTCAGATCCTCCTGGGGTGGGGGCCGCGGCGATGCCGGGAAGGGTCGGGACCCGGCCTTAGGGACTACTTCTTGTTCAAAAGTTTTCGGAAGCCAAAAGTTTGGTCCAGGGCTGCGGAAGGATCCGGCTCTGGCAGTCGTCGCGCTCGGCGACAATTGGCAGCGATTTGCATCTCAATAGCCGAGGTGGCGCGGGCAAGTGGGGAATGGGGAGCCTGAGGAAAGTCGTGCCCGAGGAGGAGCTGGGCCCGGGGAGATGGGGAGGAGCGACCGAAGCCCAGTTTGGGAGACCTTGGGACGGGACGGGGACTCTGGCAGAAGTCGTGCCCTCAGCAGCCTTGGGTGCACCTTTCGCCCAGGGGCTACGTGGTCGCAGTTAAGCCTCTGAGAGACAGAGGCCAGACACCCGTAGCTCTGAAGGCTGGGGCGCTTGACCCTGAGGGACGGTGGCGCCATGGCCTCAGCCTCTGGAAAGGGGACTCTGAATGCCCCAAGGAAACAGCCTGGGGCCAATGCCTGGACGGACGGATTGCGCACCAGCTTCCCCAGGAGGGATCCGCCTCTAGACGCTTCTTGGTTCCTTCTCTAGCGCCTCCAGCATAAGGCACGCGGAAAAGCACGCACGGGTCAAACAGACCTGCTGCTATCACCTGTACAGCCAGGGCCCCTCCCACGAGCTCCTTCCGCATGATTTATTTATTTCCTCCGCGAGGCCAGATTTGGGCATCCTGTGCCAACCTAGGTTAAGTGCTGGGCGTCCAAAATGCCTGCCTTAACTAAACCAAAATTTACAGTCTGGCACTGGAGACAGACAGCACCCCCTCATCTCAATACAGAGTAGTGAGCCCCAGGCAGGTGGCGCAACCACCCAGCCCTGCATCCTGGAGACGTTCCTGTAGTAGGTGATGCCAGAGGGGAGCCTTAAAGGCTGAGAGAGACCTCGCAAGGTAAAGGGCCCGGGGCAGGAGAACCCTCAGGACTGCAGAAATCCCAGAGACTGGCAGGGAAGCAGCCCTTCCTGGGGAGGTCCAGAGAGGTGGGCAGAGTGGGGTGCCCGGTGGTGGGCATATTACAGACCTGATCCCAGTCTGCCCTTCTTGGCACACCTGTTGCTGGGCACTGCTGGCAGCTGGGGTGCTGTCATGAGCACAAAAGGGACAGTCAGTTCTGGCCCCCCAGCAGCTACTGCTTGGAGCCTCCCTGGCCTGCCTCCTCCCAGAAGCTGGCGGCACTCAGAGCCTGGGGTAACTTCTGTCGGGGTCAGTGCCCGGGAGAGGAGGCCCCCGGAGGCAGCAGAGATGTTTATATAACAGCAGCCAGGCAGCCTGGAAGAGCAGATTTTCCCTAGAAGGAAGAGGGGGCTGCAGAGTCCCTCCCCTGCCTACCCCAAGTTCATGGACTCAGATCTCTGCAGGCCACATCCCTCTCTACTCCCGGGGATGAACTGAGAACCTCAGGCCGGGAGCTCTTCTGGGAGCCACTGCCTGTGTGCCCTCCACTGGAGCCCTGCGTCTCTGCCAGTAAGACCCAGACCAAAAGTAAAGTCCCATCCAGCCCTGGCTGGGGAGCAAGTTCTCACCCTTCTGCCAAGGAGCAGCACTGGAGGAGGGGGCACTGCAGGAGGTGGGGAGGGAGGGAGGGAGGAGGGGAGTCTCACCTGGATCTGCCCAGCCCTGCCAACGCTACCCTGGGTCTCTGCCCAGGAGCTGGGCTCTCTCTTTAGCTCATGGTACAGACGGGCAACCAGGCCTTCCAAGCTTCTAACCCCTGTGCCACCTGCTGCCTGGGCTGTCCCATGGGCAACCTGGGGCCCTAAGGAGACCCCAGAAAAAGCAGAAGTGCCTTGTGTGTGAGGCCAAGGACAGGGGCAGTCCTGGGAAAGGGGTGGGCCAGGCCCTGGCAAATGGGCCCCAAGCTTTTTCATTCACAAATGAGGCGGGAGATTTCTGGCCTCCCCTTCCTGTCCCTCTTTATCAGTCCGCTCAGGCCAGGGGGTTTGAGGGAGGGGAGGGCTGGAGGGCCAGATGGCCTAGACCCTGGAGACCTCTTACAGGGTGGGCAGCTTAGGGCAGCCCTGGTCAGTGGATGTGGGAGAAGCTAAGGAGAAACAAAAGGAGGAGAGAGGAATTTGGAGTGCTGGCCACTCCAAAAACCCAATGGGAGGGTGGGGCCTGGGGCAGCCAGAAGCTGAACTGAGGCACAGCAGTGGGACACCACTTTGGGTCCTGTCCTGCTGTGGCGGGAGCCGGGACTGGGTTTGCTGGGCAGTCCTCTGCAGAGGCTGCTGAATGGACAGCTCCCAGGTTGTCTGGAGGAGCTGGAACCAGGGGGAGTGAGGCTGCAGACCTGGCTTGCAGAGGGGAGGGGTGAGAGTCCTGGGGGCCAGCCTGCCCGGGCCCTGAAGGGGAGAAGGACCTCAGGCTGAGTTGGGTCAGTCCCCCTGTCTCTTGCTTCCAGAGATACGGGGTGCCATCATCCGGATGGGCTGGGAAGGCCATGCTGGCATTGGCCCATACCTGTCCTCCAAAGAAAACCCACCCCAGCACCCTCCTGCCGGGGGTCCAGCATGGCTTGGCCTGCTTGGGGGACAAGTCAGCATGTTTAAAACTCCCAAAGAACGACAAGTTTTTACTGTATGGCACAGGAAACTCTATTCACTATCCCATAGTCACCTATAATGAAAAGAATATGAAAACGAATATACTTATGAATATGTGTGACTGAACTAGTACGCTGTACACCATAAACTGACACAACATTGCAAACTGACTATACATCAATAAAAAAAAAGAGCTCCCAGGATTCTAGGGTGTAGCCAGGGCTGAGCCTCCTGATCCCAGGCTCCTTCCCTTTCCTTCATGCAGGGGTGATTGGTCTTGGTGTTTCAGGGGCTCCCCTGTAACCCTGCAGCCCAGGGTAGGGGTAGTGTGACGCTCCTGATTTTTCAGAGAGGTTGTGATGAGCCTGGTTCTGTGTCAGACCACGTTCCAGCCTGGGTCTTCAGCAGGCGGACAGGCTCCCAGAACCAGCGAGGCTGGGTGTCGCCCTCCCTGCCCTTGTGTATTGCTCACAGTGTGGGGGCAGCAGGTCAGACGCAGGATGCAGGCACAGGTGTGAGTTAGGGTGGCCCTATAGCGGGGGAGGGAGGTCCGTGGAAGAGACGAGGGCCTGGAGGCCGGCCTGCGAACAGTGCAGAGGGGGTGGCTTTTGATGGGTGCACTGGCCTGATCTGTGGGGGCATGTGCCAGCCAGGGCAGCTGTGAGTCGATTCCAGAACACAAGGGGTAGGGCTTCTCCACCTTTGGAAGCCGATTGTAAAACATAGGTGACCTGCTTGGAAAGAGAGCCTAGGGGCCCACTCTTACCCCAACACAGCCAGGCCCAGACCCAGCACCGGCCTCTGACCAGCAGGCCCACTGAAGGACCGTCACTGCCCCCGGGGCTCCGTTTCCTCCTCTACAGAGAGATTTCTAAAACCCTGTCTGCCTTTTCCTGCTTAAAACCAACTCGGAACATTTCCAGAGGTCTGAGCATCTTTCCAGGATGTGGATTCAGTGGCTGTGTGGTGTTGCTTTAGGAGGATGGGCCAGGGCGGGCTACCCCGTCCCCGGTGCCGGACGCTGGGCTGTGAGCAGCTCCTCTCTGTGCAGGTGGGCCTGGGGCTCTGCTGCTCTTTCCTAAGGATGCATTCAGCCCAAGCTCTGAGGGTTTCCCTCATCATTCCAAGAAGGAAAGGGGCAGGCTGGGGTCTAGAACGTGTGTCCTACCCTGCCTTCACCCCACATGCAGGGATCCACTGTCACCCAGGCCTGGGTGTGTACCCACATGCCTACACTGAGAGCAGACTGGCCGGGGCCACCTGCAGGTGCTGGCATCTCTCCTGGGCCAGCCTCACCAGGCCTGATGGCAGAGGCCCCCTCATGTCCTGCACCCCAGGCAGTCTGCAGTGGGTCAGTTCCCCGCTCTGCCATCTGCATGCACGGCCTCTGCTGAAATGACCCCTCCTTCATCAGCCTTCACCTCCAGGAAGCTATCCCAGAGTCGAGGGCCTTCCAACCCCTGCACCAATCATACGGCGTTCTGGGGCTGGGGGCGGCGAGGGTGCAGTCCTATGTTCAGGGACCTGTGGGTCCTACCCCCACCTCCCCCACAACAGAGGCAGACTAACCCATGGCTAACAGATGGCCCGGTGATGGGTGACTCTGCACAGAGCCCTGCCCTGCTGAGGGTGCTATCCACCTGTCACCCACAGCGGTCACTGCTTGGGAGCCCCAAGACCTCTTGGCAGCTCAGAGCCAGGAAGTAGATTGACTGTAAGACCCCTGCTGCCTACAAAGCCTGGGCAGCAGGGTCGGCATCCCAGAAGCAGGCACAGAGCCTGGGCAGTGTGCTGCCCGGGCAAGTCCCCTACAGGGAGCCACCTCCCTGAGCAGGGGAGCCGATAGGCGTGGCTGGTATGGGCTCCGGGGGCCACAAGACTGGCCCACGGGGTGCACCTGGTGCTTGTCATATGAGAACTCAGCTGCGGGGCAGTCAGAGGAGTGCAGGCCCTGACAGGGACCACTCGCCTCTCCCCAGGAGCCCGTGGACTGCTCAGTGCACAGACCCCAGGGGCAGGTGGCCCTGGCATGGTCTCCCCAGCTCCAAGAAGGCCCCCAGTCCCCCTCAGCTGCCCACAGAGCCTTGGCGGAGCTGGGCCTGGGGTCGTGTCACTCAGGGCTCGGTGGCTCACCTCTGGGTGCCCAGCGGGAAGACAGCCAGCCTCAAAGGAGGAAGGGCCTGCCTGGGGCCTGGGGCATCGTGTGAAGCAGGCTGGGCCTGCTAAACCATGGAGGAGGGACGTCGGTGGGTGGGCTCAGGGAAGGCTGTCTAGCTTAGAGCTGACAGCTCCAGGCAGGGGCTGGCAGGGGCTGGCAGGGGCTGGCCGAGGCAGGGAAGCTGTCGCCATGCCCGGTTTACAGACAGGACACTGAGGGCGCTGTGGAGCCCACCTGGCCCGTGGGCTATCCCTGTGAACCCCCCACCCCTGTGGATCCTGGGACCCCTGCAGTGCCTACTGGGAGTGGGGCTGGCCCTGGCCCTAGGGAGCTTCCACCCTGCCTGGCCCTGCTGGCTGCAGCTCAGAACTTTCTCCAAAAAGAAAGGGCCCCAGGGGACGAAACTGCTAGGCCCCACCCCTCTGGCTTCAGTAAGAACAGAGCCTCCGCAGGCCTGAGTCACCCACTCACGGAGAAGCCAGCCAGGCTGGGTCCCTCTTCACCCATCTCCTTCCTTTCCCTCGCCCCTTCCTTCTTTCCTTCCTTCCTTCCTTCCTTCCTCCCTCCCTCCCTCCTTCCCTTTCTTTCTGGGGCTAAAAATAGCTAGAGATCTCCTAAAAAAGTCTGTTTTTATCTTCACAGGGAAGATACAGGCGTCTCACAGCAGAATCTTTCTGCCCGAGCAGAAGTCGCTGGGGAGGAGCCAGGAGCCCCTGCGGACCATCTGCCCCAGCTCTGCAGCCCCTGCCCCCTGGGGCTGCCCCATCCCCCAGGGGGGCCTCAGCCCTCGCCTGCGGGACTCTCAGCCTCTCAGCAAGTTTCTCAGGGCTGCCTGGGTTTCTTCCCATTTGCTCCAGACACATTTAAACATGTCTAGGACTTCCGCCCTCCCCCACATCACCCCCCAACGGCCCCCTGTTAAAAAGAAAATGGGCCTGGAAACCGAGGTTTGGGTTACAGGGAGCGCAGGGAATTCTGTTCCTGAAATAAAACGGAGCACAAACATTAGCAGGTACGGCACATCTGTGAGTTATTTTCACGTCTCCAGGGGAAAGGGAAAAAACCCCAACAATCCTTAAGTAAGACCAGAATTCTTCTATATTTCTGCCTTGACAGCTAAGGAAACATTTGCCAAAAACCAGAGGCGCTGCTGAGTGTTGGCGTGGGAATGCTGGCTGAGTCAGAGGCTTGCTCTGGGCAGTTTAAATACAAACAGGCACGCTGGTGGCAAATACCAGGGGGCCATGCCTGGTCGAGCTTCTGCAGTCCAGAAGGGGCTTTTGCAACCTCTCCCTCTAGTCCCCTTTCCCTTGGCCTCTCCAGCCTCCTTATGGCCATTATCAGCATCTCGCTGGTAAATGTTTTGATAATTCTCAAAAATCAGCCAGGAAAGCCATCTTTCATGTGGCTGTGACTGCATGGCCCCAGCAGCGCCAGACGCCCGAGGGGGCTTCGGCCACCGAAGGTCTCGGCCACCGAGGGTCTTCATGCAACATAAATCAGACCGACTATTGCTCAGTCAGAGGGAGGATAAAAAATACCTCAGTGCTGTGGGAGCAGCCTTGATGGGATTCCCTTGCGTGTTCCCAGGGGTGCGGGGCCCTAGGGTAGGGGCGGGGGGCGCTGGCAGACGTGGGAACCCAGGGCCACTGCCCCTCCTTGGCCCAGCCTGGTGACCCACGCGTGGGACCTGCCCTGCACTGGGGTGACTACCGTGCACTAAGCACCTGCCATGGGCACCCCACTCCCTCGGCCGCCTGATATGGCAGGGGTGAAGGGCCTCACTGATTTTTCCCTCTTTGGTTCCCAAGCATCTCATGGAAGGCAAGCTGGTTCCCATGCTGGAGGCAGGGCTGGGAAGGGGCCACGGGGGCCCAGGGCTCTGCTGGTGTGGGGCAAGTGTAGGGGGAGGTCCCCTCTGCCACGCATCCTCTGAGCAGGGCGCTGGGGGAGGTGGGCCGCTGCAGTAAACGTGACGTGGGCCCCTCCCCCTCCCTGGGGGCCCCGACTCATGGTGGGGTGTCTGTCCTCCCATCCCCGAAGCTGGAGGTCCTGGGTGTGTTTGGATTAACGTCTGCTCTTCACTTAGAATAGTGAGGCTTGGAGTCAATTCAAGGGAAGAAATGTGAAGGAAAGCAGATGCCGTCTCCAGGGGACCTCCACGCTCTGCCCACCGCCAGGAGCTCTGCAAAGTTGTGGGTGGGGAGAGCCCTTGTCCCTCCAACATCAACCCAGACCCCTGCAGGGGGCTGTCTGGTCCCCGGGAACTTGATGCGGGGTTCCGAGCCACCAGCTGCAGCGACCTGTCTGTCTGTTCCTCTGTCTGTCCGTGTGCCTGGGCTGCTTGCCGGGCCGGGGCTGGGATCCCTTGTCAGCAGTTACATACCTGCATTCGGAGGCCACCTGAGCCCCAAACCCCTCCATCGGCTGCGCCTGGACCAGGCCCGGCTGGCCCCTGGCTGAGGAATGCAACAGCGCTCAGCGCACGGAGCAGGGGGTTGGGAACTCTAAGGTCTGTGTCGAGTAGGACCAGTGCCCTGGTCGGGGAGGCCAGAAAGTCTTTTGTGGACTCAGAGGCATCTGTCAGGCTCCTTCTCCGCTGTGCCAGGTGCAGGGGTGGGACAGTGACCAGCCCCTCGTGCTTGAGGAAGGAGGAAGACAGCGGTGTGTGTGGCCGGAGGCAGGTGAGAGGCGGAGCGCTGGGTGCTGCTGGGTGGGGTCAGTGCAGGAGGCGACACAGGAGCAGAGACCCCAGAAGGTGAGGGAGGGGCCGTGCAGGTATCTGGGGAGAAACGGCTGAGCAGCACGGGGACAGCACACCCTCCTCTGCACCCACCTCTGCTGCCACAGGGACCAGCCACGCGTGCCAAAGGCTGGCTTGTGCCTTTAGCCTGGCGGGCCCACGCTCAGCCCTTAGAATAAAATCAGGGGCTGTGGCACTGTCCATGGGACCAGTCTCCTTTACCGTGCCCGGTTCTGCCTGCCAGGAGGCGGTTCCCGGTTTGTGCCTTGCCAGTCACGGCTGTCCCCCAGATATGTATAGGATAGTTTCTTCTCGGAACCTGTGAATGTGACCTTATTTGGAAATAGGGGCTTGAAGGTGTAATCAAGTTACGATGAGGTCGGACTGGAGTGGGGTCAGAATTCGGAGAGCATCACTGTCTGTAGTTTAAAGGCTCCCATTTTGTGGTCGTTCGTTGTTGCGGCCCAGGAGACTAACCCGAGGAGGGCTTGGTGAGGGGGAGTGGGGTGTGGCTGAGCCCAGTCCCCCACAGGTGGGCGGGGAGAGGCTGCTCACGCCAGGGGAGGGAGCCCAGGTTTGCCGGCACCGGCCTCCACGCCCACTCGCTGGCACGTGGCTCCAGCAGGTCCCTCTTCAGATGAAATGACGAAACAGCACAAGGAGATGCCTTGATGTCTGTTAAGCTGTAAAGTGGGGCTCGGGTTGTCACAGATGGCAGGGAGGGTGCCGCTCAGGTCCCGGATCTCTGGTGGCTAAAGGCCTCTGTCCTGTGTCCACTGGTCCACCGCGCTGGGCCGATCCCTCCCTGATGGGGGAGAGGGTGGGGGTGACGCGCCACATTCTTGCTAAAATACAACGACACTGAAACCTGAACTTGCTCTGTCCCCAGACACAGACTCCAGCTGGCAAGCTGTGTGTTTGTGCCGCTGGGCACGTCCAGCTCTCTCACCCAAGCTGTGGGCTCAGCCCCTCGGAGGAAAGCACGGGACGCCGCGAGCGGATTAGTGTGGGCTACAAGCATCTCGAGCTGGCATTGAAGTGGAAACTGAATCAGGGTGGGTTCAAGTTCGCCGTGCCTCAGGTAGAAAGGGAGGACGGTGTGCTTCGACAGGCTCGTCTGGAAGTGGTTCCTTCTGGGTGTTTCTTCCTGAGGGGGACAGCTGACAGGTCCTCACAGGAGCCCCGCTTCCTGTTTCTGCAGAACGAGGAAAACGGTTGCTCCCTGAATCTTCGTGAACACGTTCCTTGAAAGCCCCGCCTGGGCCTTGCCCGGCTGGTATCTGCCCCTCCTCCCCGAGTCCTCCATCTGATGGAAGGTGCGGTCAGAGCCCGGAGAGCGGGGCACCCCGCCTGCTCTGCCGAGACTCTGTGTCCCAGCCCAGCGGGAATATGAGACGGACACAGGTGCTCAAAGCCCCTGAAACCGCGTCTTGGCCTTTTCTTCATCAGCTCTCTTCTTGTTCAAAGGTGTGGGATTTTGGTTCCAAAGGAGACTCTGGACAACAGGGAAGCAGCTCCCCCTGAAGTGGCCCTAGCTCTGGGAGGCTTTCCCCGGTTCTGCCTGCAGACCCCGCAGGTGGCAGGGATGGCCCCATCTGGGCAGTTCTAGAAGAAGAGCCCACAGGACTCCGTGATGACTCAGTCTGGACTTCCTCCTCTGCCACACACAGACAAGAAAGGCACAAGCTCCAGGGACATGCGGGGGGACCCCAGGAGATGGAGGCCTCATCAGGCCTGAGGCTCGGACCAGCTCCCACTGAGAGGTGGGGAGGACCAAGGCCACCTCCAAGAGACACTTGTCAACCCCCCACGACTGATTTACACCTGCCCCCAACACGTGCCACACAGTCCTGAGCTGGGTGCTGGGTTGAGCGGCTCACCTGGTCTGGGTCCTGAGAGGCCCCCGAAGAAGGGAGGGGCTGTGAGATTTGGGGAGTCCAGGCTCTGCTGGTGCTGCGACCAGGGGGCAGACTTCCCACCCCACGCCCACGGGAGGCCCCATCTCCTAGGAGCCCAGCGCCAGGAAATGGCTTCCCTCCATGGGCCCCTCCCAGTGGGCCAGACTCGACCCCATGGGGACCCTCCTCAGCCCACACATGGCAGTGGCAGGAGGGAGGTGATCTTGAGAGCCACAAGGCCAGGGACTGCAAGGGGGCATGGCTGAGGGAAGAGACGCAGGGAGGACCACACTTCTGACTGGGCATCCTCCTCTGGTCACCGCTAAGCTGGGTGGCCTTGGAACGTCCCAAGAGGGGAACCAAGGCAGAGAGGCGCCGGGCTGGGGCCACCCTTGTCAGCGGGTCCCAGGAGGCCTCGACCTCTCCCCCCTCCGTGGGGAGAGGCTCTTGTTTCACTTCAAGGCCAATTGACGGTAAAACAAACATGTTTGTGTTTATTGGTTACGTTTCTTCACACAAAGGAAAATTCCTCCCCCCTCATTATAAAAACTCAGACAGAACCAACTAGCGCAGAGATGGAGGTTATATCCCTGCCACCCTAGCAAGCGCCCTTCTTTCTGCCTCGGTTAGAGTCCACCGCGGACACTGAGCCGGGGTGCTCTCCTCCCCGCCCCGCACGCCCACCGCCGGGCCCGCCATTGTGATCAGACGCCATAGTTACCTTCAGGGGATGGGGACGGCGGTTGAGTGGGGCAGCTTGCCTGGGGTCTACAGAGCCGGACGCAGTGCAGACACTCAATCTGGGGGTCAAATGAGCGAGTACGAGCAGGACTTTCTCCAGCTCCCATCCTGTGGTCCACTCCTCGGCACGCTACCTGTGGTCACACCCCTGTAGGGATGGGAAGCTCACCCCCTGTAGCCCAGGGTCCTCTGCATCTCAAGGTCAGGAAAGTTCTGGGCTCACGGTGGGCTGGGAGCCCCATGCGCAGTCAGTCAGCTGGGAACAGGAAATTAACCCAGACGAGCTGTGTTCCAAAGTGCCGGAGTCTCTCAGGGACGTCCTTTGACTCAACTGTGGGGGAGGCCTCTGCGGCCTGGCGGTGGCCATGGTCAGAGTCCCCCAGGCCAGGGGCAGTGAGGGCACATGTGGGGGAGGGGTGCTATTTTCCCTGGACAGTGTCTCGAGTTCATGTGAGACTCTGGGCCATCGAGGGCTGGCCCGAGACGCATGGCTTCCTCAGCGCGGGACTGGGGGCTGGCGTGGGCTGGAGGGAACCCCAAGACCCATGCTCCCTACGCCCTTCCCTGGACCTCAGCTCTTCTGTTTCAGCATCTTCCGGGCAGCCTGGCCTCCAGGAGCTGTGAAAAGGCTCCCTAGAACCTCACCCGAGGTGCAGGGGTGCGGAGCCAGAGGGGGTGGGGTGCCCTCCAGGCCCAAGCCGCTGGGAGCTGTGCCCCCCGGCCTTCCTCTTGTGCCAGTGTGTTTGTTCACATTTGTTTACATTTGGTTTAGAATTCAGGCGGGCCTTGTTTGATTGCTCTTCTCAGACACTCTGATTTTTACAAACTGAAGGTCTGCGGCCACCCTGCGTCAAGCTCATCAAGTGGAGCCATTTTCCCAACAGCACTGGCTCCCTTCCTGGCTCTGTGTCACCTTTTGGTAATTCTTGAAAACAGTTCCAGCTTTCTCATGGTTATTATATTTGTCACAGTATCTGTGGTCAGTGACTTTGGCATTATTGCAACTCACGGAAGGCTCCGACGATGGTTGGCATTTTTTTTTACAATAAAGAATTTTTAAGTTAAGGCACATACATTGCTTTTTTAGGCATAATATTATTACATGTTTAGTAGACTACAGTATAGCGTAAACATGACTTTTAGATGCACTGGGCCAAAAAACGTGTGTGCCTTGCTTTATCGCAACATGCGCTTTATCGTGGTGTCCCCGAGTCGGCCTGTATGAGTGCCATTTGCGCCGACGAAAGACCCAGCTCCAGAACAAACAGGCTGCGCTTTACTCCACGGACTTGGCTCTCCCAGTTCCCTACCAATGCCCCACGTCAAGAAGCCTCACCTCAAATGTCAACCCCAAAAAGGGGGAGCACTGGGCAGGCAGGCCCTTGCCCTGGGGTGATGGCTGACCTCGTGTTGCAGAGGGTTTCCGGAATCACTCCTAAAGCCCGAGGGAAAGCTTGGGGGTTGCATCTTAGAGTTTGGGGCCAGGAACCCCTGATCCACAGCGCTTGTTCATGGTCTAGCAAGCTGGGTGGCCTAAGGCAGGTGGCTTTCCTGCTCTCAGCCTCAGGCTTCTCAGCTGTAGAATGGACACACTTCTGGGACCTATGAGGGGCTGAAATGGGCTAAGTGGGCCCTCCATGCTTCTGGGTCTGCCTTGTGATCAGCACTTTTGGTGGACAACTGTGGTTTGGGAACCTACTGCTTCCCCAGTCCTCCGCTCGTGTGTTTGGACTTCTAAGTCCAGGGTGGGCACATGGCCCAGGCTGGCTGGGACAGGGGTCCAAGCCTTATGCAGAGTCCATCTTCCACAGGAGTTGCTGAGCTGGGGGGACACGAGCCATCTCTGCCGTGCTGTGAGGAGTGGAGCCCAAGGAGCCTAGAGAAAGACAGAGACAAGGTCTAGATGGCACATTACCAGGAGGCCCTGGATTCAGCCGTACCTGAAGCTGATACTCTCTTTTTTTCTTTTTTCAATTGAAGTATAGTTGGTTTACAGTGTTGTGTTAGTTTCTGGTGCACAGCATAGTATGGTGAGTCAGATACATATATATTCCTTTTCATTGTAGGTTATTGCAAGCTATTGAGTATAGTTCCTTGTGCTGTACAGGAGGACCTTGCTGTTTACCTATTTTTCTATAAAGTAGTTTGTATCTGCTAATCCCAAACTCCTAATTTATTCCTCCCCTGCTTTCCCCTTTAGTAACCATAAGTTTGTTTTCTATGTCTGTGAATCTGTTTCTGTTTTGTAAATAAGTTCATTTGTGTCATTTTCTTAGATTCTGCATGTAATGATATCATATGATATTTGTCTTTCTCTGTCTGACTCGCTTCACTTACAGTGATGATCTCCAGGTCCACCCATGTTGCTGCAAATGGCATTATTTCATTCTTTCTAATGGCTGAATAGTATTCCATTGTACATACAGCTTCTTTACCCAGCCATCTGTTGATGGACATTCAGGTTGCTTCCATGTCTTGGCTACTGTAAATAGTGCTGCTATGAACTTTGGGCTTCCATCTGGTACCCGGCCAGAGCTGGGAGGCCTAGCTGCCAAACAGCAGCCAGAAACCCTCCAAGAGGCCCGTCCCCCACCCTCTCTGGTCTCTGTGCCACTGCCAAGACAGCCTGAGAGGCCCTTGTGGCCAGCGACCTCAGGGCTGGAAGCGGACCCCCTGGCCCAACGCCCATCACAGCAGACGCTGAATCTACCCACTTCCTCCTGAGGTCACCCGGCCTGGCTGGGGGCTGTACCCCTGGCCACCTGGGTGCCAGTGCCCCCTTCCCACCCAGGCCCAGAAATGGGCCCCCTCCCTCCAGCCACAGACCCTTCACCAGCCCCGGTGCCCACTTCCTTCCCCAGCCTTGGCTCGGCAGCCGGTTGAGGGGAGGGTGTCGGTCCCCCTCGGGAAGCTGCCTGACCCCAGTGTTTCCCGGCGCACTTAGCTGTGCCCACCACCTTCATCCCAGGGCTGAGCAGGTGTTTCCGCACCCAGGCACTCAGGGGACCTCAGAGCCTCACAGTGGGAGTCTGGGGCCCCCGGAGGCCTCCGGCGAGGCCACAGTTTCTGTTTACTCTTAGGAGAACGTTCCCTTCCACTCTGGCAGGACCTGGGCTTTGATGTGTCCCCTCGGGAAGCAGGCGGGCCAGCCTGGCCCTTGCTGGACGCGTCTCATTTCTGTCCCAAGACGGCGAGGGGGCTGGATGTCCATATGGGAGCCACGGAGCTGGAGTCTCCTCGGGCTCCACACATCCTCACCATCCCTCAGGCGAGTCCAGCTCCCTTGCGCCAACCTTCATCTGCAAAGTGAGGCCAGCAAACCCCCAGAGAACTGCAGTGAGGCACACAGAGGGTGGGGAGCAGAGGGATGGCCAGAGGTTTAGACATCATGCCAAAGAGGAGCAGATGCAGGTGCCACAGCGATGCCAGACCAAGGAGGCGGGGCTTCCCCTGGGAGGGGTACCCAGCTCCTGGGCTGCGGCCTCCCCTGGCCCCAGGGTCTTCAGCCAGCTGTCCACTGGGGGTCTTTGGGTCCCTGACCCCATCCTCCTAGCCTGCTCTAGGAAGGCCAGATCTCCAGGACAGGAAATGTTCCCCTGGGGACCGTCCCCCCCCCTCACTGATGGACGAAGGACTGGGTTCAAGGCCTCATCCTGCCCACTCTCATCAGCGCTGTGATCATGGAAGAGTCCCCTCCCCTTTCTGAGCCTGCCTTTTCTCCTCTGGAGGGAATATTTCTTCTCACCCCATTCACCCCATAGGACTGGCCAAGTATGGGAAATGTAGGGTGAATTACGAAGAGTTTAGACTCCTCCATCCAGGACATTGGTCCTACCCAGGACCACAGGCCACCTGGGAGGCGTCAGCCTGTAGCTCTGATGGGCGTATGACAATCCACAAAGCAAGGCTGGCACTTTACAGTTTGTTTACACTATTGCATGGAGCCCTTCCATGGGTTCCTGCCACACCAATGGTCCCTCCTCGATGCCATTCCCCAGTCTGGGCTCTTCCTGGAGTTTGGAAGGTGGGCATCACCACCCTGCTTCCTAACCAAACTGACAACATGGAAATGTGTTTATCGGCATGGGTTGGTCCTCCGAGGGCCGCAGGCTCTGAGGCCCCGGGTTGGAGTCAGACTTGGAGAGCCTTACTGGATTCTCCCCAGCCGAACCCCCCACGACCCTAGAGCTGGGTTTTGGCCTTCAGGGTACAGCTTTGCAGGCCATGGGCAGGCAGGCCGCCCATTGCATGCCCAAGGCTCTAAGCCCGCAGCAGGGCCCCTCGTCTGCTGCCGCGAGCTGGCGAGAGCGTGGCCTGGAGTCGGTCCCAGCTTCAGGGTGTCAACCCCCAGATCTGCCCAGCTGCCTAGGACCTGGGGGCCTGAGGCTGAAAATGGAATCTGACCGTCCTTTTGGGAACCGGCCAGAGGAGAGGAGCCTGTTCAAGGCCAGCCTCTGGGGTGCAGTCACCGGGAAAACCCATGGGAGCTGGAGGCCTGGTGAGAAGGGAAAGGGAGGGCCGGGTCACAGGGCTTCACAAACTGAAATGGGCAGAAAGGGGTGCCTTCCGAGCGTCCGTGCTGCCGGGAGCTGCTGAGCCGGCTCCGGGGCCACCGGGGTCCCGGGTGGGGGTTTCGGGGCGCTTGCAGAGGTTGGTGCCCCCCAACCCCCCAGGTGACGCCCAGGCCCTCCTCCCGAGCCTCTGGGCTGTGTGCAGAGAGAATGGTTCCAGGGGGGTCCCAGCCTCAGAAGATGGCTCAGCACAGCGTCCCGCCTCCATCCCAGACGGAATCCCAGATGTATTCCGATGTCAATGTGTAGCAAGAGGCAGAAAATGTTCATGTTTCTGACCTAGTGATTCTACTTCTGGGAATTTATCCTGAGGAAATAATGTGAAACCCAGAAAACCCGCCTCTGGGAGACTCCTGTGGCTGCATTATTTATAACCGGGAGAACCCGGAAACAAGCCAGATGTAGGGGGAGGCCGGCTAAGAAAACCATTCACGTCTGTCTAGCTGAATAATATGTGGTTGTTAGAAGCCGTGCCTGTGGAAAGTTCCAGCACCATGGGAAACAGTTACTATGTGATGGGACGAGAAGGGGCAGCATCTCCGGGCCAAGCGAACCAAAGCCTGGAACTTCAGGTGCCCTGGCGTCCACTCTGGTTCTAGGTGGTGAGATGTGGTGGTTTGGGTTCCTGCTGTGTTCTGCTCTGATACGGGTCCGTGGTGGGGACCTTCTTATAAAACCCTGGACCCAGAGACCCTCCACGCGAGCCGCCAGGGGCTGGGATTCCCAGGCCTGCCTCCAGGTCAGTAGCTGCAAGGGGGGTCTCCGGAGGAGAGTCAGGAGGAGGGTGCCTGAGGGGTGGGCCCCCTGACCCGGGCAGGGGCGGGAGCCGTCCTAGCTGGGGGGGTCCTCCCTGTGTCTCCTGCCGTCCAGCTAGTGCTGGGCCGCACACATCTCCTTGTGAAGACTGTCCATTCCATTCTCTCTGCTCAAGACTTCATTTTGGGGGTGACCTAGGTGCAAAACAGGGAGGCAACCAGGCTGGGAAAGGCCCCGCACCCACAGTGACCGATGCACCCCCAGCACAGCATGGCCACTTTCTCACCATTAATCACCTCGATACTCACCCAAGACGCAAGTAATTACCGGGCAGAGTGGCGGCGTTTATTTTCTCTCCGGCTCCTGGGAGCGTGGGGCTGGGATGGGCCCAGGCAAGCCTTCTGTGGGGGCCTGGGGCTCCCTCATTCCCTCCTGGCCCAGCCCCCAAGTCCAAAGGCTCGCCTTCCCCCCGCCAGATGGGGACCAGCCTCAGGGAAGTGAGGGGCAGCTCTGCTTTGCGATTTAAGACCATCCACCTGACCCCAGGCCTGTCACGCCTTGCTCTGCCAGGTGTGCCCTCCCCACACCTCTCCCCGCTCCTGAAAGCACAGCACAGCATTGCTCTCTGGGAAATGTCAGGCCATCTAACCACCCCCCGGGCCTCAGTCTTCACACCTGAAAGCTGGGGCAGTGCTACCTTCCTGGTGGGCTGTGAGGT